TCGCCAGCTTCACCCCCTCTACCACCCTGTCTCCCTCCGTCTCCACCTCCGCCGCCCAGTAAAAGCAACAACTAGCTTTATTTTATATTTTTTTTCTGCGTGCGGCGTTAAAAAAAGGCTGCGACTGCGACGGCAGCGGCAAAAGGAAAATCGCAAACAAAACAAAAAAGTAAAAACGAAAAATGCTAAAACCAAAAGCAGCAGCAACAACAACAACGCACAGAAACAAAAAAATAAAAGACTGTGCGCGCATGTGTGTGTGTGTGTGTGTGTGTGTGTGTATGTGTGTGTGTATGTGTGTGTGTGTGTGTGTCTGTGCATGTGTGTGAGTAAAAAAGAAACCCGTAACCAACCCCGCTGCATGCTGCGTCCGCTGCTGCTGCGCCGCCAGCTGCTCTGCCGCGAATACACTCACACACTCACACACACACACACACACAGACACACACACACACAATCAACCCCCGTGCGATGGCACGAAATTAAAAAAATAAAAAATAAAAACAACAACAACAAATTGTAAAGGGCAACAAAAAAAAGAGAAAAATCCAAAATACAACTATGTGCAGTAAGTGTGGGGCGCAGGCGGGGGTAGGTTGAGGTTGAGGTTGAACTGCCGCCCACTGGCGTCGAAAAGGGGAAATCGACGGGGCGACGCACAAAAATACCCAGCCGAAAAAACCAGCGAGTTGTGTGCGTGCGTGTGTGTGTGTGTGTGAATAGATTTATTTGCTTGTGTGCATGCACTCTATTTTTAATTTTAATTTTAATTTGTTGTTATTGTTTAAGGGCTGCGAAAGAAGATTAACTAGATAGATAGATGCCATAAAGGGCGCCCCCTTCTATGCCCTCTGTATGCACCGAATGTTGTTAAGACAAGGCGCATCAAAAAACAGTAAATCACAGCAACCACATTCGCATTCACATTCGCATTCAGAATTCACATTTACTTTTACGTGCACATTCGCATTCCGAATCACATTCGCATTGAGAGTTCCCGTTACAGTTACAGTTACAGTTACAGTTAGCTTAACCGTTACAAGCGCGCGGACATGCACAAGCAACACGTCCTGGCCTGTCCGCCAGCTGTCCGATTGTCCAAGCCAACTAACTGTTATTGTTGCTGCTGCGGCCGGCGAATGGCTGAGGCGAGCCGGCAAACAACAAAATGTGCAAACACAAAACAGAATGGAAACAAGAACAAGAACAAGGAGAACGAAACGAAGCGAAGCGAAGCGAAGGGCAACCCACAAATGAAGCGAGAATGACGACGACGAGACGACCACGACGTCTTAACAGTTACTAACTGCTCAAAGAAGCTGGCGATTTGGTTTGCCTTGGTGTTGGTCCCGTTGCTCCCGTTACTCCCGTTGCTGCCGTTGGTCCTGGCCCCGCCATAGCCATAGCTGGCCTGGCTCGCCAAAAAAAAAAGAAAAAAAGAACAAAAAAATTAACTCAGCCAGCCGGCAAAAGTCGCCGTGTGGCCTTCATTGCCGCGGCAACGTGAACGTCGACGCCTGCGCTAGCTGCGCTGCCAGCGTCCGGCACAGTAGGAGGTCAAAGTTGGAAGACGGTAACAGCAACGGCAACGGCAACTCTCTTGTTGCTTGAATCTATTCTTATAATTTAGTTTAGTGGTTATGGGCGCCAAATTGAGCGGGCGGACAGCATCGACCCACCCACAACACATACACACTCACACATACACGCACTATTTAAGTGGGAGGGGGACGCCAGCAAGACATGTGTTTGTGTGTGTGTGTGTGTCTGCATACAAATGAGCGTAATAAAATCAAATGTTGATAGTGTGTAGTTGTAAGCATTACCTGACCCTAACCGCCCAGCCACACACAAGCACACACGCACACACAGGAGCAGGGCGCCAAATGAAGAAACAGCAAAATAGCAGAAAAGCAGGACACACGCACACAAACGAACGCAGGAGGAGGCAACAGGGGGGGCGGTGGGCAGGGCAGTGTCGGGACCGGCCAAGCACAGAAGCACAAAGAAATCTACTACACGCAATCTTCATTTTCAACGCCATCAAAGCCATTCCAATCATCATTATCGTCGCCATAATCATCAAGTAAAGTACCCACCAGTAGCGCCACGCTGCCGCTGCCACTGCCGCCGCCACTGCCGCCGCCGCCGCCGCCGCCGCCGCCGCCGCCGCTGCTGCTGCTGCTGCTGCTGCTGCGAAATCGTCCCTGCTCGGGCGCCTCGCCTTTAAGTATGCTACGCGAACAGCTTCTTTCGTTCGCAGCGCTCTCTTCGCTTTACTCTTAGACGGCGCGGCGACTTCGAGATGCCAACAAGTGCGCCGACATTTTTTGCTGTGTGTGTGTGTGTGTGTGCGTGTGCGTGCGTGCATGTGTGTGTGTGTGTGTGGGAGAGCAAGGCCAAGAGACAGTGTAACACAATCGGCGCGACATCGCGTCGTTGGCGTCTTCGTTGTAGTTTTGTTTAGCGCTCTGGGGAGACTTACTAGACAAAACGAATGGCTGCCAAGGGGTGGGGAGGGGGGTGTAAGAGAATGGAAGGGGCGGGGGGTAGATGTGGGTAGATGCTGGCAAATGCTACAAATTATTTGAGCTGCATGCGGCGCACACGCGAAGGCTGTAAATACTTGTAGTTTGTTAGTGGTTTTTGTTGTTGTTATTGCAGCCAGTTTCATTGTGTCGAATAAAAATCTTAGAAGTTGGATATATATATATATATATATATATGCACGATATATACACACACACACACATACACATATGTGTGTATGTATGTATATATATATATGTATACAGCTGCATGAAATTGAAGAAAGCGGCGCAGGCAGCGTGTTTAGCATGCACTTCAAAAAAAGAGTCCCGAAACTTGATAGAAACAAAAAAAAAGATGTTTGATTTTCTTTTTGAAGCATCATAACTAGAAAAAATAAATCAAACATAATATTTTTATACGAATTATTTGCAACATATTAGAGAGAGATATTTGCATTTTTGAAAAACCAACAACTTAATTGTGTTGTTATGTTTTTTTTTTTAAGTATCATAACAAGAAAAAATAACCCAAACATATTTTAATAAATATTTGCAACGTCTTAGCAATCTTTGGAATCACTTATAAATTTGAAAAATATCGAAATCTTTCTTCTTAATTTATTAAAAACTTTCGAATATTGCACTGTGTTGAATAAGAGTCCTAGAAGAGATATAGAGTCCCAATGTTGTTACAAATATAAGTATCATAACTAAAAAAAAAAATAATTCAAATATAATATATTAATAAATATTACGTTACGCTGCGTCCTAGGAAATATTTTCAATTTCTTGGCTTTGCTCAGCTTATGCAAATTTTGAAAATTGCAGAAGAGCTTTCTGCTTACTCCTTAAGTAAAGTCTTACGAATATTACAACTATTTTTAAAATAGGCCAAATTGCCTAGGCAGCTTTTCGAAGGGGAATCGCGAAATTTCAAAGCAATTCCTTCTTTTTTTTATTTTTCTGAGTGTGGGTGCACATAATTTTGATTTACTCAGCGCACACACCTACACACATCAGTGCCAAGCATCCTCAGCAAACACACACTTGCATATATGTACATGTGTATTGTAAGTCTGTGCTTAGGGAGGCAGGAGGCAGTAGGCGGTAGGCGGGCGGCGCCTTGATTTTGAATTTGTTTTACTTTTACTTTGCTCCGCTGGCTGCCGCTTTTTCGCTTTTTCTGCTGGGGAAAACTTTCAGCATATTTTCTTAGACAGAGCAGCTCGAATGTGTTTTTAAAATTACATACACACACACGCACACACACACACACGCACACGCACGCGCGCACACTCATAAGCTTGGCATTGATGTACGTACGTATGTATGCTTGTACGCATGCACATCTTATGTAGATTATTCACTGTGTATAATTTTCCAGCTCGTAGTAATTAGCCAATAGGAATAGCTTTTGCATGTGTAGTGGTGGGCGTGTATCAACGGGGGGTGTGTGTCCCGCTTGTGTAGTGCGTGCGTCCATGTGTGCGTGTTCGTGTGTGTGTGTGTGTGTGTGTGTGTGGCATGTTTGCTGTCGTATGTGGAATTGAGACTTAAGATCGCAACACGTCTGCCCGGTTGCCCATTACCTAAAATACTTTTTAAAACACATTGAACATTGAAGTTCGAGGTCTCCATTTTGGGTGGAACTACGTCAATCAGATGCTTTTGTCTTATATTTACGAAGATGCTTCCGATATTAACTAAACTATATTTTCGGCCTCACAAAGCTTTCTTAGAATGAAATTAAAGCTAATCGATTGAATAACAGAATAATTTCATACAAAAGCTTTTCGCGCATTTCTCGATCTTGAAAAATGCACCAAAATCTCTCCAACAAAATAAATGAATACTATTCATTTTTGTACTAAAACTATACAGCCCGCCCTTATTTATTCAAACGTTTGGATTTTCCGAAAAGTCATAACATAAGTTACCAATAGAAAAAAGTATAATTCACGGCTTTTGACTGTACGCTAATTGATCGATCAGAGATACCGTGAGTCAATCAGTCCGTAAATCATTACATAAAAATATTTCTTTTGCCGCTGACGGCTGGGGCTGTTCGTTGATTGACCAGTCAGGTCAGACCGTCAATCAGTGAGTCAGTCAGTCAGTTTTTTTAAACACTCAGTCTGTCCTTCAGTCAGTCACTCAATCAGTCACTCAGTCAGTCACTCAATCAGGTAGCCATTCATAACATAAAAAGTTATTATTCTCGGCTCTCGCGTTAATTGATCAATCAGTCAGTCCTTCAGTCAGGCAGTCAATCAGTCAGAGCTGTAGGGCTGGGTAGGGACGAGTACGTGTCATTATAAATTATGATTATTTCATTTTATTTTAATTTTTTTTTGTGACTTCGCCATATTAATTAGTTCCATGCAGTATTTGCTTTTGGTTTTATACATTTTTTTTTATATTTATATTAATAAATGGCGACTAATATATTTATATTTTTTCATTTTCCAGCTCTCTGCGTTTGCCGATTACCGTTATTGTTGCTGGTGAATATCTGCCCATTATTAATTATGATTCGGGGAGGAAAATGCAAATAAGAAATAGTAAAAAATAAAAAATATATACATTGCAGTCTATTGAAAATTCATTTTTTAATTTCGTTTTATATACGCTTGCGTGTATATGAATTGATGCCATTTGTGTGTGTGTGTGTGTGTGTGTCAATACAGATGGGCTGGGAGTGGGGGAGTTGGGGGGGGGGGGGGGGGGGGCAGGCGTCAAGTGGGCTGCAGTGCAGTGGGGTGGGGTAGGGCATGTGGACACGGCAAAGAGTAAGCCAAAAGTGTCAGCAGCGCTCATTTTACAGCTCCACCCACTTTTTTGTATTGCGTTGTTTTTCGGTTAATATATTACGCACATGTTTCTGGCTAGGAAGGGAGGGGGGGGGGGGTGGGTGGTGAGGGGCGGAGCTCGCGAGTGAGCGAAAAGCCTACACCTATCCCAGGGTGTGAGTGTGTGTGTATGCTCGCATACTTATGTACACGTTCCTACAACACATACGCATACCGACAAACACTAGCGAACCCACAAAGGGGCCGCGAGCACACACATACATACACACACACACACAAGCAGACACACACAGATACACACACACACGCACACACTCACGCGCACGCATAGCCCATAAACGAGCCAAAATATTAACCAAACAGAGGAAAGCTCCAAAACGGATATCAACCCTAACTCCCCGCCAGTCCCCCGCCCCCGACCTGAGCACACACAACCCTCCGCCCCCCTTAGCCACCCACCCATGAAACGATGCGCAGCGGTTAAAAATATTTAAAAATGTGGAGTGCGACGCAGTTGTCGGCGGTTAGCTCCAAGCCCAGCCCCAGCCCCAGCCCCAACCAAACTGTGCGTATATGTACCTTTTATTTGTAACTGGGCGGGTGTTGGGGGAGGGGATGGTACGTTTACGGCGACGCCGGTAACGGCAGCAGCAGCTCGCACACTTGGTTAATTGCCAAAAACAACTGCAAGGCAGAAGAAGGAGTAGGATTCGAAGTTGGGGCAAGGGGCGGCAAAAAGAGAGTGTGGTTAACAGCAGGCGCAGGAGCCGATCCTCTGCAGAGCGCGCAGTTGACACACTTAATCGACAGTCCACAAGGGAATGTGAAAGCAATCAGTCTGAACCCAAAATTCTACTTTGTCTTTCAACATAAACCGAATCCGAAACAAAAAAAAAACAGCTGAATCAAAGTCGGACCATACAAATTCGAGTTCGATTGCTTGAATAAAGTCTTAAGAATTTGTAAAAGCACAAGATTGAAGCCAAAAATCTGGCTTTATGTATGTGAACTTAAAGATAAGTTGCTGGTTCGAACTGTGAATCGAACAAGCTTCCTTCCTTTTGGGGCTTGGAATCCTGCTTGACAGTTAAACCAAAACCTGGCTTCATTGATGTGAAAAAGCAGGTTCGCGAAACGAACTTAAAGAGAAGTTGCTGGTTCGAATCGTGAATCGAACCAGCTACCTTCTTTTTGGGCCTTTTCTTCAGTTCTTGCTGCACTTGCAACAGTTCAGCTGCATTTGAGTCTGGTTTTTGGCAAGTTGCAAGCCGGGCTTGTGACAGACTCTGTAAGGCCTTGCCTCGCGGCTGCGCTTCGAATTTATTTCGAAGGTGCGCTGCTTTTGCAACGGCAGCGCGGTGGCGCCACGCTTTGCGTCGCGTTGGCAGCGGCCAATTCATTTATTTTTTTTTTCGCTTTTTCTTCTGCTTCTTCTCATGTGTAGCAAAAGTTTTTCTAATTCGCATTTATGTTTAATTTGGTGGGTGCTTTTGCTTTCTGTCTCGCTTTGGCACGTGCTTTGCCACGCCAAATTCGTAACCCCAGCGAAAACCGAAGCCCATACCGAAGCTGCCCCCGGCGGGCTGTGGGAGGGGTTGGGGAGGGGTAGAGGGGTGTTGTTGTTATGTGCCCCACGCCCCTCCGCCCCGCCCAGAACTTTGCCGTTTTTGTGCGCCTCTTTTTTAATGGGGTGCTTTATGACAAACTTTCAACTCGCGCCACTCGGCACATGTATGCGTGCGTGTGTGTGTGTGTGTGTGTGAGTGCTTAAAAAAAAAGTAGAAGTAGCCCTGCACGGTGTGATGTGTGTGCGAGTGTGTAAGTGTGGAGGTAGTAATGTCGCGTTTACAATGGGGAAGGAAGGATCCACGCAATTTCTAACGCAGCCCACTAATGCTAAGCCTGTGTGTGTGTCTGTGGGTGTATGAGCTTGTGTGCTCACACAAACATATATACACCCTCCCATTCTCCATCCCACGTTCATGTAAATTGTGCCTGTGTGTGTGCGCGTGTCTGCGGAGTAATTTTTTAACTAATTTTCTATACAAATTTTTAGCATGTCGCTGGGGTCATGTGTGTGTGTGTGCACATACTAACACACATACACAAATATATATATTATATATATATATATATATATATATATATATATATATATATATATATATATATATATATATATGTATAGATATAACTGTGCGCTCATTCCTTGACTGCCAACACGTATGGTATATAAATATTTATATATGCATGTCTTCTCCATGTGTGTGTTGGCATGCGTGTGTGTTCCAGCTCGGAGTTTTGACTGTACAAGTTGTCTATAGGCTTTCGGTTTTTGACGACGATATTCACCATACTATCAAATTCTTATAAAAAAGTCTCTTCCCTGAGCTTCTGTATATTCCGCTTGAATCGAAGCTGAGTACTAGTTGGTATCTTAGAAAACGTTGATCAAAGTTTGGGTGATAGAAAATGCACGAATATGAGCCCAAAAACAGTCTGTCTGATGAGGTGTCTGAGTGTCAGACAAACAAAGGGCAGGTCGCCGGCTCAAATTCATCAGCCATTTCAAACTTGACCCGGGCAACGCCGGCTAAATTTCTTTAGTTATGTCTTTGATCTGATTGCCTGACTGCATGGACACATAAGAATTGCACGCCATGAAGGGGTTTTGTAGGAAATACATGTTAAATATTTAGATGTACATCAAAGCTTATTTCTGGCCGATTATTCCTATAAAAGCTCCATGATATAGTGGTTCGATCTGGCCAGGTAGTAAAAGGGAAAGTCTTATAACGATAGCGTTTGAAATAAGCGACGTTTCTAACGCAACATCGACTCATTTGTTGACACTAATCAAGAATTTAAATACTCTATGGGCTTGGAAATGCTATCTTCTATCAGCTACACATTTCAAGAGGAAATTTATGATACCCTTTGCAAGGGCATCGAAATAAAATTATAAAAAAAAAACACTTGCGACGGAGGCACTCGGATTCTATTGTCTGTGAAACGTGCTCATTCGCTTTCTGTTGACGTTAGCAAACACTGTTTTTACACACACACACACACACACACACACACACACACATGCAGCATATTTGTTGGGGGCATGCAACGATGTTAGGAACAGTTGAATTATAGAACATATCTAGCTTTAGCTCCGGCAACGGCAAGTCATGTTGTTGTTATGACGATTTGGCAGCATGATATTTATTTTGATTTCAGAACGAGCCTCGGGAATGGGGTCCGGGGTCTGGACAAGGGACAAGGGACAAGGCCAGGATCGGTCAGTCATTGTGATTTCCATTGTTTGCAGCTGTCACAGATAGAGAGTATGCCTGTGTGTGTGCGTATGTGTGTGTGTGGGTGTGTAAAATTAACATTTCATTTGGCTGCGTTTTTTCGCTTCATCAATAAATTTGCCAACCCCAAGCACACAAATATTTTCACATTTTTTGTATATTTTTTTAAACATTTTTTTTTTGTATCCATTCTTTTGCAATAAAAAACCATTACATAGGCAAATATAAATTTTGTCGAGCCGTGTGTGCTGGCCTGTGTGTGTGCGTGTGTGTGTGTGCCTGTCGAAACATTGCCGCAAAAAAAGTTTGCCATTATAATTACAATATAAAAAGCATGTGACGTTCAAATATTTTTCGCTATTATTCATGAGGTTTCTCCTCATTTATAAAAAAATCCATTTCGATTGTCGCGTAAATAATTTCACATTGTCCCCAACAATCAGGGGCGAGTAGACAGTTTGTCTGCATGTGTGTCTGTGTGTGTATTTGTGTGTGTGTATATATGTATGTGTGTGTGTGTATGTGTGCATGGGGGGGATTCATAAATTAAGTGCAATATATGAGTGTTTTGTCAGAATAGCCTCCTATATTGCTTTTGCACTCATTAAACTAGGCACCAGTGTTGCATAACTAATTAATTATCTATTGATGCTGACTTATCGATAACATTGCTCGATAGTTATTATTATCGAACGTCTATATAGAACGAAGAAATTCTATCTTCCCCCCTTAAACATACTTGTGCTTATTAAACCAGGCACCAGTGTTGCATAACTAATTGATTATTTATTGATGCTGGCCTATCGAATAATCGAACGCCTTTATAGAACGAAGAAAGCCCGTCTCCCCCTTTAAACTTAGCTCTTACCATACAGGCTGAGTCTTAAGTAAAAACATACAGCCAGACATACATACATATGTATGTATGTATGTATGTATGTATGTATATATCTGCTGCGACAAGTTGGGTCTGGAGTCCGTCGACGGAGGCGTGGCGTTGCGCGGTGCGGGTTGACTGAGGCAGAATGCTATTTTACACAACATATCGCGCTCGTAAAAAATAATATAACTACATACATGCGCGTTTACTACCCATTTAAAGCGCAGCTTCCCTTTACGCACCTCCGCGCGGCCGTAGTGAAAGTTTGGCAAGCAGCGCTGTCGCAGCCGCAGCCGCAGCCGCTGTCTCTGTCCTCACGCCAATCCTCCAATGCCAAAGCCTCCCCCTCCCCCTCCCCCATCCCCAGCCCCAGCCCCAGGCCCAGCCCCAACTCCCTCGCACTAGGCTAACTGCTTTTCCACGCATAAGCGCAATTCTAAAAAATTAATGTCGCTTTCGTAATTTCAACACACAAAAACTGGCGGCAAAGCAGCGCTGCCAGCAGCGGC